TTCCCCTAAACTTGTTTTGCAAGTCATCTCCAAAATGCTGGTCGCCAAACCCCAGCTACCAAAAAGTTTGAGCTTGAGGAATGTACCTACATCCTCCTTTTGAAAACATTAGTGAAGGACATTGTTTTATGGTTTGTTTCAACCATTATTCCCTACTGTGTGGTGTAAGACCTTAAATTACCAGTGTCTTACTGGAGGGGAAAGAAAAAGGAGAAAATAATGGAAGATTTAAAATCATCCTGTTTTTTTTTTATCTCTCATGACTGCTTAGTTGAACTTGTCCCATTGACATCTGTTTTCCTAGATACAAAAGTATGAAAAATAGTACCAATACTTTAAAAACAAAACAAAACCAAAAACCCACAAAAATTCCAAGCAAACAAACAAAAAAAACCCCAACAAAAACAACACTTCTCTTCCAACTTCAACCATTCTACTCTCTGACCATTTCTATGGTAGCTCAGCAACCTTGACATAGCAGAATGTGGTACACAGCGATGTTAAGGTTTTGCTTTGTTCTTTAGAAGATGCACATCCACTTGAGGACTTTCTGTGTTTGAAGAACGCAGCTGTACTAAAACCTGAACTAAAGTTGTGCTTGGGAAAACCTGAGCTTGCACCTGGTGGTAGTTTGGGGTAAGACTGGGGTCTGACATTTCCATGAGGAGAGAGCAGTGTGTCTGCCCTTGATGCCCTCACGAGGATGAATATACTTGAGCCTTGATGATATTTACTGCAAAAGAAAAAGGGCTGCTTCCTTGGAGGAAAGAGTTGGTATCAGACAGGGTCAGCAAGAGCCGGGAGGTACTCAAAGAAGCAAGTGGTCATTCAAAGTCTCAGAACAACTCAGGACTTGTTAGGCTTCAATTCTCCGAAGGAGCCAGCCTGTGTCTGAAGCTGCCAATAGGGGCTTTAGTGCCTTCCTTAGACTTACCAGTATTGCTGAACTGGCCGGACAGATCAGATGTCTGAGGCAGAATATCTTAATGTGCCATCAGCTAGGTGTGTTTTTTGAGCAAGTGCCTTCAACTGTATAGTGGTGGAAGTAACTTGTCTAACATGTTCTGGGGATAGGGCCCTGAATGTATGTTGTAGCAAGGCTTATGCTGATTGCCTGCCTTCTGTGACTTGGTACAAAGGTGATGGGATTAACTTTGCTAATGGAAGTATATGTTCTGAAAACAAAGCACTGAACAATGTGTGCGTGTTTCAGTTGCTGTAGAAGCTGATGGGTTCTACTTTGCTTCTGTAACACTTGTGCTGCCACTGTGTTTTCCATACATTTCTCAGGTATCGCTACAATACAAATATATTTCTAAAGATGTAATTTGATGTCTTAGAATGATCTATTCAGCATTTCTGACACTTTTTTAAGTTACAAAATTTGTGATTCCAGAGAATGTCAAGTTGTTTTGTCTTTTTCTGGGGGGAGATGGGGAGTAATGTAATGCCATACAAAATTTTCAGACATAACTGTGAGGCTGGACAATAGATGCTGGAATTGTTCCCCTGTCCGTAGATGCCTATGGTGCAGGTGTCTAGACTTGGTGTGCAGCTGAATGCAGAGAAATGCTGCTTCTGGTTATGGTCATGTTGATGACTGCCTGATGTCTGACTTTTCTGCTGTCTGCAGTGCAGGAGGAGGGACAGTACTCTGCCATGTACTGGTTGCCAAGATTTCTGAATGGTAACTGGTGGGGTTTTTTTACAAAATATATTTTTTTGAGTGGTATAGAAAAAATAACAACAAATGCTTATTAACGGGTCAACCCACACAATTATGGTCAGATTTAGGGCTGGGAGAATGACAAAGCCCAGAGCTATAACTGTAGTAGGGCTGGAAATGGGGCCACCGTAACAGGGCTGGAGGAAGATTTAGGCTGCAAATGTTTTCTCCTCTGTGAACTTTGTCACTAGGGTCCTATCTGAGTGTCTTCACCTCAGAGTGAGCCAAGGGTTAGGATTAGAATTAGGATTAGGATTGGGGGAGGGACAAAGGCTAGGGCTGCGGATGCAGTGGGGCTGCCAGAGGAGGGTGTGTACTGCAAGTTCTCCCCCCTGCAGACTCTTTAACCTGAGACATGGCTGGGGACATGAGGACCAGGGCAGTCAAGTCCTTTGGTTAGAGTCGGCAGGGCAAGAAAGGGTGGGACTGCAATTGTAAGGGACTTCCAGGGGAAGGCAGGTTAAGAAGTGTTCTCTCCCCTGCAGGCTCTTTTTCCTGGGCCATGGCCGAGGGCCTTGCAGCAGGTCCCTGGTACAAAAGGGTTAGGGTTTTTGTTTGCCCTGTATTGCAATAGAAATGTACCGGAGCTGATAAAACTTTACATATCAAGACAGATGCTCTACATGAGTCAAAACTGGCAGAGAAAAATTAGTTTGTTTGTATTGACCTATGTAGGAGAAGGTGTATTCAGTGGCTTTTTCGAGAAGCAGGAATTGATCGAAGGTGACCATTGAGACCCTCTGCATAAACAGTGTGGCTTTTCAGCCAGGTTGGTGGCCAAGCAAGCTTAAGCCACTCAGTATTTTGGCATCTGGACTGTTGTTCTAGATGAGGTAATAATTTAGAAGCATCCAGTCTGCTCTGCAAGAAATCTCCCTTTGGCACGTTCTGCAGTGAACAAGTCTTGGGGGTTTTGGTGCCAGACTGTTTAGAGATGTTTCCAACGGGAGGTAAACATTTTAATAATAGAGGCCTTTCTTCCTCAGGCTTTTCCATCTTGCCCCATCCCATTTCCTCCCTCGTCAGCCTCCAAACAGTGATCTAAAGTGTTGTTTATTCCCTGCTCTTTTCCTTACTCTCATTTTATCCTTCTCCCATATTTCACAGGGAAGTCTGTACAAGCCATTCTGAAGATTTACTTAGAATGGGCTTTGGCATTTGAGATTTCCATTAAGGCGTCTTTATTTTACTTTCTATTACTGACTATGGCTTTTGATCTGCACCTGCAATATTGGTTATGGTACCTAATGTATTTGATATATCCTTTTTTTCCTGAGACAAAATAAGCAGATTGAAAGTTGAAATGACAACAGAGCTAGAGTATTTGGAAAGAAGTGCTCTGACAAAATAAAATAATATTAAGTTGCCTGTTGCAGCAGGTTAAATGGAAAATATCATTTATAGGATTGCTGCTTTGCAAGTCTGAAAGGCTTGTGCCTTTTCGGGGAAAAATAAGTAATGCTTGTTTGTCATCTGTGAAATAAAGTTATGATAATAGGAAGTGAGATGTGGTTTTTTTCTTGCCATTCTGTGCAACGGGGGTGGGAAGTAAAATGCATGTAAAAGTATATTATTCTTTCATCACTTGTTTTTAGGACGTAATAGTGTTAGATTCTACTTTAAGCAGAAGGCAGGAATAGTACAGCAATCTGTATGACCTTGGGTTAGAGTTTTTCACTGCAAGATCAAGAAAATACCTCTGACTCCCAAAAATGTTATTCACATCGGGCTTGTTGACACTTCTGATTATGGTGGTGTTGGAGATGTGGGGACTGCAAGTGTGTAATAGCACAAATACAGTTTAAGACAGGTTCGACAGTAGCTTTATTAACTATAATTATAAAGAATATTTAGAATAGCATCTCCCCCTCTGCTCCACTGTTCTCTCCAAGTGATTGCAGAGACCCAACCTATACACTGTTTCAGGGGAAAAAAAGGAAGAGGTGAGGAAAACAATAATTTAAGTGTTAACAAAGCTGGGTATCCATCCCTGGGAGGATTGGACTCCTTAATGAGCTTGCTAACTGCCACAGTCCTAAGAAGAAATCAAACGTTAAATAATGTGGCAATATGGAGAGATGGCTCTTCCCGGAGCCTGTAGGAGTGGCACACCCAGTATTATCTTAGCTCGGAAGGGGGGAGTTGGAAACAATCACAGGCTATTAGTTTCTAGTTGAAAGGAATGTTCTTTTAGTTAGGATAAACATCTTAGCCAGACCTCTAAAATCTTAAATATTAAGATTTTTACCACCATAATAAGCTGCTAGAAGAGTTCATTCTTAAATGGAGACAGTGTCAGCGCAGGGTGAGATTCCTCTCTTCCATGGTGGGTATTCTAATTTTTAGAGAGATTTACATTATCATAGGTGTCTTTGTTTCTCTTCAAAGATCTTGAATTTGAAGTGAGTGTCTTGATCTGATGATTTTCTTCCCAATGGATGGGACTGGCTGAATTTTATTCCTTTGAATGAAAGGCGTAACTTTTTTTTTCTTGGGGGAAGGGTGGTAAGGAAACAGTGTTTGTTGCAACAGAATTTTATAATTAAAATTCCCTACTTCAGAGGCTTGATAGTTTTTTGGAATATTCTAACAATGAGCCATGTCAACACTTCTCATAGTGTGTTCATGGGTGGTGGGAAACTTTGTAGGGGGCGGTTGCTAATCTTTGGACACCGAACAGTGTTCACCTGTGGTATCACTGGACTAATTATGTTTTCAGGATGAGGTGGGGTTTTTTTGACTCCTTTTTTATTTGTCTTCTCACTTTTATGGAGACCTCTGTTCTCCACAGCATGTGCAAGGATGGCATTTAATTTCAAGTACAGATGCAGAAAAATAGATAGGCCACCCATAAAGTGAATGCCCTTTCTTACTTTCTTGCACTGCAGAAACTGCTGGACTGTTCTTCCCAAGCTATGGTGATACCCAGATACCTTCTGGGTTTCTGCTCTTAGGCAGAAACCTGCCATGACCTGCCTATAGGCAATGGAGGCAGATTGATGCAACAAAATTCAGCCACAGCCTGTGACAACTGGTGTGATCTAGGTACATTTAGGTATAAAAGAAATATTGTGGTTGTGCTGTGGACATTTTTTCTTCTAGTTTTCCTTCATTTCAATGATGGATCTTTGGGTACACCCTTGTGTTTTCAGGAGGGGAGAAAGGGGAACATCTTCCTTTCCAGACATACTGAAATTCTTATGTGCTGGGGACAAGTGTTTGATAATTGAGATTTTGTGACTTACCACTCATAAATACTCCTTTCTCGTAACAGGTTGCTGAATGCAATAAAGCCGGGATTGGTAAAAAAGATCAATAGACTACCGACTCCCATTGCAGGTTTGGTGAGTATATCAAATTGAGAAAAATCTTTCAGTGCTGGTTTTTGCACCTTGATTTAGTGACTGCGTGACTCAGATAGCAATTATTTTTGTAAATTAAACCCTTCTAACCTACTGAACTCAGATAGTTCCTCTGAAATCTGAGCTCTCCATGTAGCCACCTTAAGACCTTCCAGCCTTTTATTTGGAAGTGGGAAGTATTCAAGAGGCATAGTATATTTTTAAAAGAATAATATCTTCTTGGTTATATGTCATCTTCCAGTCGTGGTGCTAGCTTTAGAAAGACTGGAACTATTCGTTAGAAGCCATCACCACAAAAAGATAGCTTTTTGGAAAGAAAGAAAAATGTACTTGTATATTTTGTCTCATTTTCTCTTTCCCAAAAATACCACAGTCTGCAGATAACATGCATTGTGAGACTGTCTGGGGCACTGTTTCATGTTGACTTTAAGGGCAGAATAAAAGTTGGCCATAATCTGTTGTGAGGAAGACCACAGAGGACGTGCTCACAGCCTGTGGGCTCTCAAGAGCGTTGGGTGCTCAAGAGGTTACCTCAAGGGGTGGCACAGCCCTGTGCCTGTTGTCGGGGAAGAAAGTGGGGGTATGAATGAGTGTTGGGTCTAACAGGGTTAGCCACATAGAAATATAGCTGTTCTGATTTTACCGTGAGATGTGTCTGGGGGTGAAAGGGCCCCTGAGCATGTAGAAGGGGGCCATCCTCAATTCAGACTGGTGATACACTTACATAGTTTATTTTCTGGCACTGTTCACATTTTAGTTTTGTTGTGCATGATTCAGAACGTATTATTTGTTGATAGTTGAGCTTAACATTCTTTTATATAAGCCTCATTAAGAAGTTTCAGTGTGTTAGAAACCATGTTACATTCCTTTTAAACTGGTTCTATAATGTAATTACATAGCCTTTGAGGCCAGGTCCTTCAGCCTGCATATTTCTGTGTGAATACTGCCTAGTTTAAGGATTTAATTTATGATCTCCACCACCCTTTCTCTAATGTTTCCTTCTGTGCCTTTCTTTTGGCTCGAAAACCCGCCTAGTTTTATTCCTACACAGTCCTATTTGAAAGGAATATTTGATACAAACAGCTGCAAAAGATACCAGTAGTGCAATTTTCTTTTCCTTGGCTCCCTTTCAGGAAAGACTAAATTTTTGTTATGACTGTTTTAAGAGGATGATATTGAATTACGTTGGGTTTTTTTCTTATTCATATGTAAAATCCCAAAGGTAAGGTGGTTGTAGTAAGAGGGACATAGAAAAACTTAGTATGTGTGTGTTTTTTTCTCATTCCTTGAGAATTTTCCTTATTCTCTTGCAAGATGTATATCTTCAAAGCATTACCAAAGCTGTTTTCAGGCTAATAATGATAACAGCAGATCTTTGTGTTGGAATGTGACATTTTAAACTCCCTACCTGTGTCCTTTACTTGCCTTTACTAATTATTTTTCTAAATATTTTTCCTAATAAATTAGTAGGCTATTAAAAAAGTTCAGTGGTGCTTCTGTCTTCTTGAACATTATCAATGGGTGTTTTGCTGTGTTGTAAATACATTGCTCCCAATAAAGCAAGCCATCCAAACGTTCTCTTGCTTTTGAATGTGTTTAGATCCGTACCTGCTGGCTTTTGTTGACACATTTACTTACAGTGGCTGTTTTAAGGATTGTGTGTGAATTTAAATGAGCAAGTGTTCTAGTCTGTTACCCATATTTATGAAGTACAGACATCAGGACTGTGTTTGACCGCAGGGTATATCTCTTTCTTTTCTCTTACCTGTACCTTGTCTGTGTGTCTGAAAAAAAATTAAAATATTGACACTGTAGTCAAGAAGCAGCTATACCTCCTGGTTAGTTGACCACATATGAGGGACATTCCTTTATTTATTGCCACTTTTTCTTTATTATCTTAGCTTTGGTTGGTTTAACATAGTGTATAGTTACTTCTTTCCAGTTATTTCACTCCAGTGAGTGTGATTTCCTTCAGTACATGTAGAAATACTGTGAAAGCTTCAGTACCTTTTCTGCCTTGTGTGAGATACATGCTTTTGAACTCCTAGGTACTGCTTCTGCCTAAAAAGTGTAACTTAATAATTCTAACAGAATTAATTAATTAATTTATTCCCAATAGCTGATAGAATAAGTATTTAGTTCACTGGTGGAGACAATAGGTAGGTTTTCTTTTTTACAGAGTTGGAGCTAAAACTTATGAGCAATTGTGAAGTACTCGAAGTGCCTTTTGTTTCATCTTCAGCCTCCAGAGTCACAGTCATGTATTATATAGCTCTACAAAATGTCTTCTTGAGTCTAATTCTTCAGATGGTACTCTATTTTTCTCCTTTGTTATTGTAAGAACAAATGAAGAGGTATGTTTTATTCAAGGAAAGTAACAGTAAACTTGAAGACTGTATCAGAAATATGCCGAGATATTAATCTGGGAGTATTATCAAGTGTAAAAATTTTGCCTATATTTTGTGTTTGAGTGATTTCTCATAGCACTGCTGTGAAGTGTTATGTATAATTGGTCTAATGTTGACAGATTGATTTCTTCAAACTTCTCCTGGTGTTTAAAGCTAGATGAATCTCCAGTTACTCTGAAATTCTGAGCAGTGACTTCCTCATGTGGTTTAAGGGGGAATGGCTTATTTGCAGGCCTTTTGTATACCAGAATGCCAATCATGTAAACAAAATTTGTTGGTTCTAATGTTGTAGTGTTAAAGTAAGAACTCAAGGATCTGTACACCACCATACTAAGCACAGGCCATATAAATACATAAAGATGATCTTTGTCTAGTTGGAAGTGTAAGTCAAGATGTGGATTGTATGCAACATTACATATAGAATTACATATGTTCAGATTGGCAGGCTTGTTTGTAATTTGCTTTGATCTCCAGAAGTGCTGACTGTTTCTGTTATCACACCAGAAATGATACATTGCTTTAATGGAATAAAACATAGGACCAACCGTTTGGTATTGAGGCTTACAGTGAATATTAAATTTGATGAAATGTGTTCTCATTCCTGTTCGTTAATCCAGAGAGCTAATGCTCCCACCAAAACCCAAATTGACAAAACATCCAAAGAATTTATTAAACCTAGGTAGGAATAACAGGCTTTGCTGAAAGAGTCATGTTGCCAGAAGAGATTTTCTCGTATGAGAAACTGATACTGAACATCTTTGGTTTAAGACTGTCAGCTTTCCAGAAGCACCATTTAATGTATTTAATTGTGCAAGGCTGGAAAAGTATTTTGACTGAGTTATTAGCTAAAAGAGCACCTGAAGCTGCAGAAGTCTTACAAAGATGGATTATTAGCGTACAATGAATATAATTAATATAGAAGTGATTTTTTAAAAAACAACATTTTTTTTTCAGTGAGTTGCTGTTGGTTTCTTTCATGTTGTATGATGATCATAGAGGGCACAACTAATTTTTAAGGTTTCTACTAATTGCAATGTTGTACAACTATGTCATATTATATATTTAATACTATAGAAATAAAAACTTTCCAGCATCATCGTAGATAAGCTTTGCTCTATAATGCTAACTGCTGTAGGCTGACTATCTTTTTCCCTTAAAAAAATTCTAGTTTTTGCTTCCTGTCCCTGAATAATGTCACTCTGTGAGAAAAGAAAAGGTTTCTGCCTTATCTTTTGTTTGACAGGGTTTAGGAAAGTTTATAGCATTACTTCAGTTCCTTGAACAATCCCCACAGGACCTCCGACACTTACTTCAGAGGCTGTGTGAAAGGGTCTCACATATAATAGTAGGAAGTAGTCAAGACAAAGTTGGAGGGCTGAACTTTAGCTTGTATCTTGGCTCATGTTTCGGCACTACTGAATAAAAATCTGTTTACTGTGGCATCCAGTTTTCAGCTTGTGTACGGTCCTCATCTTTGTGACATTTGTGTGATTTAGCAATAGAAAAAATAGCTCTGCAGAAGTCACCTGGTTGCATGGTTGTTGCACCAAGATGAGCAGAACTGTAATGTGCTGTTTAAAAAATCTTGTTCCTTTGAAAACAAGGTATTTTTTTTTCTGTGATTATTTTCCTAGGAAGTTTGTCTTGGCAAAGTGTTCTCTGCGAACTTGCTATGAACCTTATTAAGAATAGCTACTTGTCTGCTGGTGCTGGTAGTTTGCTCTTACGCTGTACTGTTGCATAAATTCAAGTATTTTTTAATGTCATGTGATGTCTCAAAGAAATTTCAGCATTGTATTAGCTTTCAGGAGTTTGTGCTTCTAATTAGTTTCAGCAAATGAGATATTTTTTCTTCATGAAGATATGAACCTGAAAATAAAATTACAAGACCCAAATATACTGTAGTGTGTTTCACAGAATTAAAAATAATTAGAGCAGATAGAGAAATACTTGGAACTTTAACTGATATGCATTATTTTTATACTCATACTTCAGTGTTACTATATTTTTATTTTTCTTAAAATTTGTCTTCTCATTCTTCCTTTTAATTTCTCGCTTTGCCTTTAATTCTTTGTAGTGCTTTCTGGAAAGATCCTGCTCCTATTGTAATATCTAGATTCATAATACATGATAATTTCTGTTTCCTTGTTTTGTACTGCTTCTTGCTGCTGGACAATTCATTTGCCAGCACAATTGTATCCATAAAAAAGTCTTGCTGTGTAAGTTGTGGTGCATCTGAAGTAAACAGAAGCAAAACTTCCTAACTGTCTAAAAACAGTAAGTTCCTGGCACACACATCCCAAAAGCATTTCTGTGAATGCTGATGGAAAGCAAAGTGTCAACATTGTAGCAAAATGCAGTGCAAACCATTCTACTGCGGTTTCTGTGGGTCTTCCTTGCTAAATGGTAATTGGATTCTCTACGCCATCTGTGCCTGCCTTCGGTTCTGATATCTGCATATTTGACTAAAACAATACTTAGGGTCCAGCCAGTGGTTCAGAGCAGCACTGTGTACTTTGGCCCATCACATACTGTCATATGTATTGAATCCCTTCACTGAAACTGTAGTATCCT